GACCGAGGGGGAGGGGCTTGCTAGGATAGTATTGCTGCCTGCTGTCTAGTCCCGCACAGGGTCTGAGCCCAGCGTCCCTCCCAAAGGTGGAAAAGATTGGGGATAAGTGGAAAGAAGGGAACATAGCAGCTGGGAGTAAGAGAATAAATAAGCGAGTTATGTTACGGAAGGAGGGAAATCCAATATTAAGTAACGTCTCAGAAGAGGTTCAGGGTAAGAGATGGTATTGTCTCTTAGCTCTATTATGTCAGACACCTGAAGGGCTGAAACCATATGTTACTGAAACCACTCCTGCTTTTGGAACCTGACAAGCTGGATAGGAACCTGTCTCCGCATCCTGGGAGACATTTCATATGATACGAGGAGGGACTGGATAGTTACTCATGACTGACTGGGATTCTAGCAGTGTGCCATTTTCCTGTGACTTTTATGATTGTTTTCCTGTAAGAGATCTGTGTTCGAAGACCGGGGGTAGATTTTGTGATTTTTATATATATATATATCTTGATCTTTGCCCCACTTCTGGCTCAGAGCTCTTATAACCCTTCGAATGTCCTAAGTGAGAAAGGCCCTAAAGGGAGTGAAGTACTGGAGATTAAAATCTCAGAAGTGAAGAAATGGGGATACCGATTACATGTAGAATATGGTCTTGGATAGTAGAGGCAAACATCATACGTAGGGAGGAGATGAAAACAGTTTTCGAGTAGAGTGTTGCTAGCTTGGGGTGTTAGTCGATTCTTGCTGTGGTAGCAAACAACCTCAATATCTCAGAGGTGTATAAAAATGCAAACCTCTTTTGCTCACATCAGGATGAAGTTGGCTGTGACCTGGTTCTGCTGGGCTCGGCTGCATGTACAAGCCCACCAAGCAGCCCCATTTAGGATATGCTGTTCTGATGCTGGGGGACAAGAGCAAAGAGGCAGAATCACAGTAGAAGCTGATTAAAGGTTCAGCCTATATGCAGGGAACCCTAGTCACTAACATTTCAGTGGCCAAAGCAAGTGGCATGGCCTATCCCAAATCAGTGGTGTAGAAGTACATTTTGCCCATAGGGAATCACGGTGCATGAATAATGCATCTGCCATAGTTGCTAACTTGGATACTGGGGTTACCCCAAATGTTATAGGCTCTTGTTAAGAAGAGAAAGATTGTAAACCAGTTGCTAAAGCTCAAAGAGATAATCATTACAATAGCTAGAAATGTCTAGGTAATAGATCATGTTAATATAAAAAACTGAGAAGGACAGTGGCCAAACTTTGGCATTTTTATGCTTTGTATCCTCTTATGAGACTATATATCCTTCAACTAAAGACCAGGTAAGTGGTTCAGCAAAGCAAAAGAAATGTAGTGAACTAGATACAGATCTGTAAAAGCTCATTACATGGACTGTTTTCCCTTTTCAGCGATTTCTTTCTAAAAAAACATCATAATCCCACTACCTTTTCCTGTTGATAAATGTGCAGGAGTGAAGTGCCAGTCCATTGAGTGAGTTGGAAACTCTTCATGTCGACAATCAAAAGCTTGGCTAACTTCTTGCATTTCTTTTTGTATTTAATTAGACACTAAAGATATAGAGACATTATTTTCTTGGAAAGCCTGGCGAGTTGCGTGACTAAGCCTTAATTAAAACAAGGACGTGGTTCTGTTTCTGCTGTGTCCTGGGAGAAAGTACCCATGGAACCTCTTGATAAGTCTCTCTTCAGAAACATATAACTCCAGCTTCTTACAGAGGAGTGAGAAGTAAAAACTTGTACCCATTCCTACATTTCGTTTTCTCTAGATTTATTGCAATCATAGGAAAGGGAATATTATTTGATGTGTTCTGCTTGATATTCATGAAAATAGCTCACATTTATTGAGCTTAGAACCAGCCACTTCTCTGTACATAGATTACCTTAACTGAATACTCATAATGACAGCACTAGAAAGCAAGTGTTATTATCTGATTCATTTTATAATTGAGTAAAGCATGAAAAGGCTAAGCATAAATTGCACAAGTTGCATATGGAACAAAGTAATGGAATCAGGGTTCAACCTATGTAGTGTGGCTCAAAAATCTGAATGAACCAATAGAATATACCTGTGATTCTCAGACTGTGTGCTGACACACTCTGGGTTATTATAGATAACTGATGGGGTTATTTTAATTTTTCTAGAGAATCACCTCTTAGATATCATGTAGATTACTATATCCAAGTCATTTTAACTAACTACTCAATAAATGGAATTTTTAGGTATTTCTTTTGGCCTCAGCGCATCATGAAACAGTTCCTGAGACGCTGAGAGTGTTGCGAACTGAGAATGTTTGGGAGCCTCTGTAGTATTCTGTCTCCACACGCTAGCTACTGCAGTGTGTAGTAAGATTCCAGACATCTCTCTCTGATTGGCCACTGACATCTTGTGCATCTGAAGCTTTGTCGTTCTAATTATTGCTTTCTATTAAAATGGTTAGTGTTTTTTCATCTTTACTCTTTCTTTCATCATTACTATTAGCATTATTATTTTGAGTAGTGGTTATCATATTTAGAAATATGCTTGGCTAAAAAATTATAAAGAGGTTTGTCTTCTTTGTTTTGCCCACTCCAGGGACCTGAATATTGAATCTAGTAGCAAGGGTCCACCAGATCTAGGTATTCAAATTTTCAGGTGTAAGAAATTTTAACTCAGGACTTTCTATCAAGATGAAAAAGAATGTGTTGAGATTAGCCAACCACAGTGTTTGTAATGGGAACTATATATATAGTTTAGTATACACGTTTATATTTGAGAAATATTCTCGAATTCCTCACGAAAGTTCTGGTACTAAAATTGGTTTTCTAATACGGGTCTTCAGTTCCTCCTCCCCCCGCCCCCAAATGTAGTGATAATTCTTAACCTGTGTAGTTATAGAGATAGTTCAGGTTGGGACTGAAATTTTCCTCTAGATTTTTGGAATCTACTCTGATGGTCAACTTGGTCTTGTACAATACCCATTTCTTGCTTCAGGACATGTTTTTAGCCACTGAAACATTCTTAATCTTTGCTTATGCATTTATTCAAGGCATAAATTCATTATTGAATTCCTAGTATTGATTAACCATGTTCTTTGGAAGGTTTTCTTTTATATGATATTCTCTGCTAATGCCTATTATAGAAAACGACAGGACAAAGCTCTATTTTTCTGCTTCTCTCACCTGATCCCTCTGGGGTTTCCTTTTCTCTGAAGTAATAATAATTAGCAAGCCAAGGCAATGAGAGTCATGTTTAAAATCTTTTCAGTTGCAGTATATCGCTCTGCTTGGCACCTGCCAGTCAAATGGATGCTGCATTCCTCAGCAGCATGGCTTGACTTGTCAAGAGCCATGAAATACGAGCCTTTACCTGACTCTCCACTGAGTAGTAGTAGCTAGAATCTTCCTGCCCAGGAACCTGTCTAGATTTGGGTGACTTTGCTGACATACGGAAGTGTTATGCACTGAACATATGCTGCCCCAAATTCATCTGTTGTAGCCCTAACCCCCAATGTGATTGGCATTTGGAGATGAGGCCATTAGGATTAGATGAGGTCATAAAGGTGGGGCCCTAATGATGGGATTAGTGCCCTTACAAGAAAAGACACCAGAGCACCCTCCCCTGCAACTGCCCCCAGCAAGAAAGCAGCCATCTGCAAGCCAGGAAGAGAACTCTCATCAGAATCCGATTATACTGGCACTCAGATCTCAGACTTCCAGACTCCAGAACTGTGAGAAAATAAACTTCTGTTAAGTTACCCAGTCTGCCGTATTTCCTTATGGCAGATCTAGCTGAGCAGTAAAAGTAGGCACTCAAAATTTTTGGCTGCTTGTTTGATTGATGGTCAGCATCTTAATATCTTGTCAGTTAGTTTCTTTTAACTCAGCCTGACAAACTGTTGGGCACTATGAATTCAGTAAGATAAGGTCAGAAGAGTCTCTGCAAAGCATCAACTGATTTCTGTCTGAAACAGACAGATCCTGCAATCTCTTTTTCATTGGTCTAACGAAAGAGAAGAGAAACTCGGTCACCAATCGACATCTTAGAGTGAATTCGCAAAAGAAGTGTAGACAAGCAGCGTAGACTTCTACTGCTCAGGAAACTGACCACACTTGCTGCCAGAGCTCCTGACTCAGCCATGAGTGAACTGTAGCCGGCCTGTGACCGCCTAGGGAAGTTTCAGACATTGCTCCGGATGTTAGAACATGCCTGAATCGTGTTAATGATTGTAACAGCAAGGACTGTAAACAAGCACAATCATATTAAGCCTAAAAAGCAGAACGTGCTGGCGTGACAGATGCTTCGTTGCATTTTATGCTGAAATGAATAGAATTTTGTTAATTTGGGGGAATGACTGTATGAGTGAAGTTTCCGTATTTTTTAATTTTTTTTGACATGTTGAAAATTTTCTAAAAGATGAGCTTGTTTGTAGTAGGTTTGGTGAATATTAACTGAGAATGGAAAGCAAACTTTAGCATGCCAGTAATCCTGCTTCTTCTGTACAAAGTGGAAAAATAAGCCCTGTGGCTTATTTCATACTCTGCTGTGCTTTTGAGTTGAGACAAAGTATCACCCAAGTACTGATATAACTTCCTGTATGTTACAGCACTATTGAGCACTTACTCCTGAGGTTCCTCACTGCATTATATAAACAAGCTCTTCATTAACATGTGAAGGCTTATTTTTGGCCTTCCAAAAAGTGTCAATTTATTAATTTCATATTTCCCATTGTTACCATTTTGACAGATCTTTCTGCCTTTGTTTCTTGTTCATGTTCTATTTTTCATATTTAATACTTTAAGGTATTTTTTTTGGATGGGGGTTGTGTCTCAAAATTGTTTCAGGTAGAAGAGAGCCACCCAGTACTGGTCCTGATGCTGACTTATGGTAACAATATTATATAAGTATCCAAGCTCCTGAAATGTTGATCTCATAGGTCTGGGATATGGTCTAGGGATCTCCCCATATATGTATTTTTAAAAAGCTCCCCATTTCATCTTGATGTGCAGGCAAACATAAGGACCACCGAAATGGAGAAGTTATAGCTGATGACCAAGCCCACAGTTTGATACTGTAGAATGCTTGCCCTGTGAAGCAAAGTTGAATTCCTTTAAAAGGTATGTGGTTTTCAATAAGGCATATCTCCTCTTGGCCTGAGGGTCTTCATTTATGGAATCAAACATTTGCACTGTCTCTAAGAATTGATGAACTTGTAATGCAAACAGATTTCTTTTAGTTCTGAATTAGTTAGATAGGTTCTCCATTATGCCTTTATGAGCAGTTTTAGTCTTTGCTGTGTTTAGGATGACTCTGGTTAGCATGATCATACAATTTATCCTTGGGGAAATTATATCATCTACTGTCTAGTCAAGAGGTTTATTCTTCTTCGCATGGCACTATGTAGGGCTCTTTAAAGTATTTACGTTTGCATCGAGGCCACACTTACTTCTTCATTAGGCCGGCTGATTGCGTATATAATTGGCTCGGACCAATGTTATCTCTGTCGTTGAGACAGTGACCCAAAATATTCAGCGTACTGGTCCTAGGCTGATTATCTTGCCTTTGTATTAGAAATGTATAGGGATAGCACGTGCTGTAATCTCTCGATTGAGAATTAATAAGCCGATGAATTCTGAGTACTTCTTACATGCTAGGCACTGAGAAGGCAAAAAGGTGATAAAAATCAGTCTAGTTATCATTTCACGGCAATGAAGAAGAAAGACTTGGTACTGACTACAAAAGAGCAGAGGAAGGGCATTAAAATAGGTCTACAGAATTCAAGAAAGCCTCTGGTGGAAGTGACGCCTGGGCATTGTCTTGAAGTGATGAGTCAGAATTAGCCAGGAATGGGTGAGTGGAAGGGTGTTCCAAGCAGGGGAGGACAGCAGCAGAAGCAGAGTCACGGAGGTCACAGGTCACGGTGTGCTTCTTGAGACTGAAGATACTTCAGTTTGTTTGAACATCAAATATGAACAGGGAGAAAATGCATTTCGTTTGCTTGAGAGTTTAGAATTAGACAGTGAAGTACAGTGGTGTACAGATGGCTTCTGGTAAAGAAGTATGCCTAGCCCAGCTAAAACGAAGGTGCAAAATCTGGATCCAAACGTAGTCTGTTTGACTTTAAACTTGGAATTTTGCCACTAGATGTTACATGGCATGAGATACAATAATTGGAGAACCTCTACTCACTTTGTGGGCAGATGGGACACGTGATGTCGGTGTGGGTTAAGACTGAGTTGTCGTTTGACTCTGTCAGTCCTTACGTAATAAACCGTTGTGTCTGATTATACATTAGGAGACATGTCGACACAGATGGAGGTAAACTAGTTACATTCCTTAAAGGTTTCTCTTGAATAGACATGCTTATAAATGACATCCATTGTAAGCTCTTGGAGGCCAGTGGTATCTTATTTCTGTTTCTGTCTCTCTGGTGACTTGCCCAGTGCTAGAATATAATGATGACTTAGTTCATGTCATTTGGATGAATGTGATGAACAGGATGAAAGAGCTAAATGAAGGTAAGGCGCTGATGTTATGTAAGATCTTCTTAAATATATGCCCATCACAAGAGTGCATTGATCTCGTATACAGTTAAGATTAAAATAGGGGGAAAAGGCACTTGAATAAGACATTTCAGACTCTGCTTTCTGAAAGGTGTGTTGGTACCTGGTAAGAAGGGATGGGGGCAGGAACAGAGACAGAGGGACACAAATAACATGAGCTGCCATTGATACTGGATAATTTTCAGTTATTTTATGCTAGAAACCAAAAACACCCCTGAAGTGGGCTGCTGTAGTTTGAGAATCAGACCTCTCATCCTGCAAGGATCATCGAGAGTGGCCCCAGCGGGTAGAAGTGTAACGCTAGCTGGGAGGAGTGTGACTGCAGGAAATCAGGAGTCCCCTAAGGGCCCCGGTGACTGCTGCGAGTTCCTTTACAGCGACGGATGAACATCTTGCTGTCAGATCAAATTCACTGACCACTCAAACGTGGCATTCTAGTTGCTCCTTTTCCTCTGACGCCTGCTTACCTCTCCCCGTTCTTTATTTGTATTGGATTTTTTTTTTTTTTTTGGAGAATATATATTACAGGAGACATCTGTAAAAGCAAGAAGGTGACTAATAATGCGTACCAACTGAAATGAGGATGCAGCACCATTCATGCTGATGTGGAGAGACCCGAAGTTTTCAGTGCCAATGGTCTTGCCTGGTTGTGCTGGAAAATTAAAACCAAACCTTAGATATTTGGAAATGGTTTGGTTAGAGACAGGTGAAAGTGTTTGGTTGTTCTAGATGCTCTGTGGCTTTCAGGTTGAGTCTCTGATAGCCAATGCACGTTCAGACAGCATATTTCAGGATTCTGCAAGGGCCGAGTCTGTGCTTCATCTAAGCAGAGACGTGGCTTCAGACTTTGGGAATGAAGAACTGTAAGGTCACACAATGTGCTCTCCGAGTGCAAAGATGCTAATTTGATTATGGATTCCTGACAATTCCATGGCTTCACTTCATTTTGCTTGGCTGCAAGACAGAGACAGTTATAATGATTAGTCTTTGATTATGTTTGCATCATCCATCTCTCCCTTTTTGCTGGTTTTAATGGGAGTGATCTTCATCTACATTCTCTGACTTTTATTCTGCACCATTTTCCTCAGTTTGTATTATACGTTTAAAGCATTTTACAGATTCTTTTCCCCCGTATAGGTTATTAGAGAGTATCGAGTAGAGTTCCCTGTGGTATACAGTAAGTGCTTATGGATTATCTATTTTATGTATAGTGGTGTGCACGTATGTCTATGTATAACTGAACCACTTTGCTGCACACCTGAGACTGACACAACATTGTAAATCAACTATACCCCACTATAAAATAAAAATTAAATTTAAAAAAATGTTAGGATATAGTACACTTTAAAATTTTATTTCGTTGCACACTTTCTTAGACACAAGCTACCTACTCTGCAATGTCCCATTTCCATCGAAATAAAATGAAATCTGGAGTCCTTGGAGAGCAAATGAACTTGTTGCTGTGGCTGGGGGACTGAAGAAAGCCAGAGGGTCTCTGAAACGGACGCAGACTTTTGCCGCAGACACAGGCAGACGTGGGAAACAGGGTCTGCAGGTTTTGCACGCTCATGTCTCAGAACTTCCCTGAGATCTCCCGCGAAGTGTTTGGTTGTTACTTTTCTTGGATACAGTCAATTCTTTCATAATCATTCACATGCTTCTTTGGTTAGCTCCATGAAAATAGCAATAAGTGATTTCTTCCACTTTAGCAGAAATCATCTTGATACTCAATGAACTGGCATGCCCCCTCTTATTTTCATTCTGATTAACAACCAGTTTTCTTTGGAATAGAATAATTCAGTCAGCCATGGAAAGCCGGTACTCATTTTAGCACTGCACAGAAGAAAGCTGGTAAGAAGTTTGCTGAAAGGAAAATCATGGAAATTTAGGGTTGATCCATTTATATTTTGCTAGATTTCCACCACTCAGCCTATCAGTCTGTGACCTGAGACATTTTCTGAGGCTTTAGTGATCCACAGGCTTTTACTTTTGATGACCTGATGATCAAGTCAACTGATACTCAAAGAGTGCGTGAACTCCCTGAAGGAAGGTATCCACAGCCTCGCTTTCCATTCCCACCCGTTTTCCTTGATTTGTTTACACTCCTGTGATTGCTGTCATTTGATTGTCCAACTACATCCCACTGACAGCTATTCATGTTGCAGTGATTATGAAGAGAACAGGAAAGGGAACACAGTGCACTCAGTTCTGTCTACAGTCAGAACTCTACTCTTGCGGCTGCCTTTGGAGACAATGGCAGAAGCGTAAGATGGGCTTTCTTCTGCGTTTGGATGGGAAAGTATGTTCAAATTTAACTGAGATCCACATTCCACGTTTTTGTTAATATCAAGTAAGTTGGAGAATAGGTAGTTGGCAGATGCAGAAAAAAATTAACTTCACATTTAATCACTATTTTACAATGTTAATCAGACTGAAACACTATAATAGCTTTTCAAAGGTAAGCATATATAAGAATTATCCATTGCTTTACTGGAAATTTGAATATTACCTGATGAGTCAATGGAGGGGATTAACATTGCTATTGAATATTTAAACAGAATTTTCATAATGATCTCTGAGTTTGGGGATTAAAAGAAATAAGGTGGAGGAAGATTGATTTCATAGCTGGAGAGCTGTCTTCATGTATGGTTTTGATGTGGTATTTCTAGGACACAGCCAGTAATATTATATTACGATACCCTTTCTTCTCTTCTCCTGAGTCTCAGTCACTTTACTGATGTTTCTGAGGCACTAGGCTGACAGGGAGCAGTAAGGGACGGGTGCCATATGTCCCACCGGGAAAACCAGCGTTGGATACGTTCTCAGCCCTTCTCATGCCTTGAAGTGACATGAAAGTCTTTACTTAAGGGATCTTTTACAATGTTTAAAACATGTCTATTGCTCATGATAAGATGTGCTCATTCATAGAAACATCCGGAGTCCCGGAGAGTCTTGATCCAATTAAGGCTGATTGACATCAGGCTTCTGAAGTGAAAAATGGGTTGTCCTGCCTGTGACATTTCCTTCACGTACTCTTTATGAAGTCAGTATTTCCAAGAAATATCTCCTCTTATGATCCTAGTCTGCCTTCTCATCTGGCTCCCATAGATAGATGTTGCATAATGTACACGAGCAGTGCCTGTCCCATTTACCCACTGCGCCCGAGCCGTCTCTTAGGCATTTGTTCAAAGGAGTGATGCCTCAGCTCAGAGACACCCGGATCAGAAACGAGTTCATGGTATGTTTTCAATCATTTCCAAATGTACCCATTCAGAGTGGGCTGAAGGAGTACAGAAGAGACATGCATGAGAATGTCTTATCTGCTTGGAAGAGCAGTGCCTACAGATGTTTCCACAAAGATATTGGGCGTCCCTCCAGGGATTTGTGGGATAACTTGCCCTTTCTGCACTTTCCCTGAAGTGGAAGGGAAAACAGTAGCCTGACTTTCCTAAGTTCTGCCTGCAGATACCTTATCAAGGGAGTGAACCCAATGGACTTTGGAAGGTCCTGCGGTCCTGGAGGAGGGGTCATGGGTGGACCCCACAAGCCTCTTT